GTTGATTTGGTGACAGAAAAAAAAAAAGGGACACAATGGATGTATGTATGGATTATGATAAGAGTTGTATTAGCCCCCAATAAAATGATTTAAAAAGGAAAAAAAAAAAAAAAAAGGGCAAAGGTAGGAAACAGTTTCAAGGGTTTATTTCAGAGCTCCCAAGAGGGACGGGAGAGCAGAGAAAGGGACGGGAGCATCCTGAGCTTCCAGGTGAGATTCCTGGGGGGTTCCCAAGTAGGGCCCTGCGACGTCTCGCTGTCCAGGCGAGAGGTGGAGTTTTATAGCCTGGGTCTGTGGGAAGAGAGTATTTTCCACTGCAACTTTGTTGCCTGCAGGTCTGGAGCTAAGCAGCAGCTTTCAAAGTTATCTGTGACCCTGTAACAGTTAGTCTTCTGCACCTGGGCCTGAAGGCCGCAGAACGGGGGGAGGAGGAGGGGGCAGGGGGTCTGCCTGGCCTTTCGTAGCATCCTGAAGTGTTTTCACCAGCTCTATCTCCTCACCCGCCTGCCCTGCGAACTCCCCCTTCTGCCTGACAGTTACTCGCATAACCACTATGCCACCAGGGCGCTTCACTACAACAGTCAGTCTGGTGAATTTGATGACACCCTGGATTTAATTTGTTTTTAAGTAGGAAATCCTATGAAGTGAAATCTATTTCTGGACCAGGGGGAGGAAATTGAGAGGAAACTATCAGAACCTGGCTAAAGCGTGCAGTTTGGTGAACAGCACTGTGATCCACGATTTCCTTGGTCTCGATCATCTTACTGCGGTCATGCGGGGCATTCACCTTCAGGGACGCTGGGTGAAGGGGACATGGGGAGATTGCTCTTCCTGGCTGGCTGGAGACTGCTGGAGCCTCATGCACCTGCAGGCCTGGACCTGAGCTCAGCCCGTGGCTCCATTTGCAGCCAAACAGTAGCAGGCCTTTGAGGTGCACAGCGGTGTGAGGGAGAAACTCAGTCCTTAGAACAATTGACCGTCAGAGACTGCAGGAGGGCAACATTTGTCCAGGGACAACGTTCCCAGCGCAGGACGGGCAGGGAAAGAAGGTTGGCAAATTCAGGGAGGAAGAGAAGAGCACTGTTGCATTATGGGAATTACAACCCATTTCACAAAACACGTGGGAGTTGTTGGACAGAAAACCAATTTGCTCTGTAAACTTTCACCCAAAGCACCATAGAAAGTGGTTTTTTTTTTTAAAGCATGACGTTCTCTTCCATCTTTGCAATTCTTTCATACATCAAAACTTACTTCAAAATAAATACAACTTCCACTGAGTCAGCGCTGACTCATAGTGACCCCCGCAGGACAGGATTGAACTGCCTTTGTGAGTTTCTGAGACAGTCACTCTTTACAGGAGTAAAAAGCTTCCTCGTTCTCCTGTAGAGTGGTGGATGGTCTCGAACTGGGTCAGCAGCCCAACTTGTGGCTTCATCACCAGGTCTCTCCTGATATGGTAGTTACATAATCTGGTGTCAATTTGCAGAGGTGGAATCTAGCCTGTCAGTCAGGTCTCAGCTTGATGAGCTCATTTGGAGGCGTGAGGATATAGGATAAAGAAATAGCTCCCTGGAGGCTAGACCTACACGCTTTGCTTCATCTTCCTGCGGACAAGCCACGTGGAGCTCTGCTAGAGCCCTGGAGCTGGAGGAGCCACGTGGAGGCCCCTGCCAGCACTGAGTTGCTTCCACTGCCACTGGATCCACCAGACTTCCCACCCAATGGCCTGTCATCTTCCTGCATTTGCGTCATTGCATGTTTCGTGAGTGTAAAGAGGATTTTATAGATTGGTTATCGGACACATGAGCTAATATCGATTTATGGACTCAATCTGAACTGGACTGGGATGTTTTCTTAATATACAATTGCTCTTTATATGCAGCTCTTTCTTATACACCTGAGTGTCCATGTATTTGTTTCTCCAGCACACCTGGACTAACACACTTATATAATAAAATGTGGAAATGTTACATTTGGGAAAATGTATACAAAATGGAAACTATATATATTCTGAAACAGAACAGTATGATGGCTGAACCAGTGGGAAAGGTCTCCCTTGACGATTGTGTTTTCTTCGTCCTCTATTTTGTCATTCCTTGGCTGTTTGCTTGTGAATCAGGTATAGAACAGGGGATCCGTTCACACCTGTCTTTTCAACTCACCCACTGCAATTCACTCCACGCGCTGGTGTCCCCACTGCTTCCCAGGGTTTGTTTCCATCCTTCCTTCTTTCCTAGGGTTTTGTCCTTGGGTAGACGCTATCTTTTGGATTTTCAATGGTTCTACCACAGGGGTGAGTCAGTTCCAGACCTGCAGGGTGACCAGGGACCATGGTCTTGAGGGTCCATCCCCCCGTCCAACCAGGGGGGCTGTTGTGCTCTTTCATGCCTTTGCTTTTGGTCCATATTTTTCTCTCTCTCCAGCCCAGAATCTCCCCGTGCAAGCCTGTTCAGAGCAGGCCGCCGCAGCTGGGCACCATCTAGTTCCGGTCTCAGATCGTGGAGGCCGCTGTTGGCATGGAGCCTTTGTCCATCAGACTAAATGCGTCTGTGTGTCTTTCTGTTTCCCTCACTCGTCTTTCCTCGAGATGAGGAGACAGCTGCTTTTGAGCTGTTCAGGCCTCAGTGGATACTAACCCAGTCGGATGTCAAACATCGTCCTGGTGAACGGCTGTGCCCGCTGACCTTGATGGTCTCCCAGGCTCTGGTCCCAGTCGACATTGTGTCCTTTTAAGAACAGGATGTACCGTGCTTGTGTGACTAACTCTTCCCTGCCAATAAAGCTTTTTATGTCTAGATGTGGGATTAAGTTAACAACAGCAGCTGTAAAGATTAGACAGGACCCTTCGGGGACAGTGAATGCGTGTGAAACTCAGGGAGGAACAACTCAAAAGAAGGGGCGACACCGGTCACAGAACTAGGACATAATCCACATGGCAGAGCCGTGCACAGAAACCAACCTTGCCATTCCGCCTCCAGGTCACTGCGGCGCAGAGTGGAACTGCCCCTGGAACTGCCCCTGTAGCCTAGGCGGTCTCATCTTTAAGGAGCAGGAAGCCTCATCTTCCTCCCAAGCAGTGGCCGGTGGGTTTGAACTGCTGACCTTGTGGGTGGCGACTCAAGGCATGGTCTACCATACCCCTAGGGCTCCCTTTAAGTTGGGCACAGAGGGGGGAAAAAGCAGTTGCTGAGTGTCACGGTTCGATTCCGACCTATGGCGACCCACGTGACAACATAGAACACATTGGGTCCTCCGGGACATTGCATTTTCCGGGTGCCGGGTGCCAGGTCTTTTCTCCGTGGAATGGCTGGGGGTGGGGTGTTTCTATCTGCCGACTTTTGGAATTGCCAATATGCCTTAACCGGTAACCACTGTGCCAGCAGGGTCCCGTAATGAAATGCGTTAAGGTTATTTATGAAAAAGGGCTCCCTGCCTCAGAGGCCCCTCTGGAATTCTCACAGTGTCCTTAAAGCATGTGGGAGAGCTCAAGACGTGACAACGGAGGAGGAAAGAGCACACGGGCCTTCCTTTTATTCAACATCAAAACCCCGTGACTGATGCTGTAACTGTTTGGGAAGTGGGTTCCGGAAGCCTCAAAGTCCAGGCTTCTTTCCATACAGGCATTTAATTGGATGAACAGACTTTAATGATGTTTTTTTTTTGGGGGGGTTGCTTTCATATAGTTCATGTTGTGGTGATCCCCGAAGCATAAAATTATTTTTGTTGCTACTTCATAACTGCCTGGTCTTGGCACAAGGGACTCCATTTTGAATCCGGCACCTTCTTGGTTCTCAGAACTCACCTCTCATGGGCCTCCCTCACATGGGCCTCCCCTCCCCTCGCTGAAAATCACCAGTTCTGAGAACCAGACATCCCCGAGAAAGAATGTTCTTTGAAGATATGTTTACTACTTCACCTGCCCCGGTACCTATAGATAAGATTAACCACTTCCCTGCATCCCTTGAAGATGTGTTTATTCCACCCACCCCGGACCTATAGATAAAATTAATGAGCGCTTCCCTTTGAAGTCCCTGTTTGCAGCTGTGCCTGCCACCAGGGGATATAAAAACGCAGCCAGAAATTCCCCTCGCGCGGTTTCATTAGCTCAATACGTGAGTTATTGAACCCGTCCGCAAGCTTCTCAATAAAGCCTGCTTCTAAAACTTTACCAATTGGATCTTTAATTCCGCTTCGCGCCCCAAAATCCCTTACAATAACTGTAATTTTACTGGTTATGAATCGGGTGATCCCTGTGGAAGGGCCATTTGACCCCCCAAAGGGTCACGACCCCCAGGTTGAGAACTGCTGCTCTAGGGGGTCTTGTGGCGCCATGTTTACAGTGCTCAGCTGCTAGCCACCAGGTTGGAGGTTTGGACCCACCCAGCACTTTGTGGGAGAGACTGGTCCATGTAGCCCTGTAGGACGCACTGGCACTGCCCCTGTGCGTCTCCAAGACAGTCCATCTTTAGGGTGGCATACGGCCTCCTTTTTCTCCCAGAGAGCGGCTGGTGGGTTTGACCCACCGACTCTTCTTTTAGCAGTGAGCATGCTCGGTGCAGGGTCACCAGACCTCCTTCCATAAAGCTCGCAGCCCAGGAGATGCTAGGAGGCGGGTCTACCCTGTCATGTGGGGTCTCGGGACTCAACAGCCAACACCAGTTACCATGTGGGACAATAATGAGGGCAGCCCTCAGCACGGACAGACGCCACCACAAGAAGCTGCCTGGTGGGAGCAGGGCCAGGAAGGCAAGGAGAAGGGGCGACGTCACAAGCACACCCCAGAGTGCGGCCAAGACCCCCGGCAGGGGCCCAGCCGACCGCAACAGAAGCCTGTGGGGGAACCCTGCAGACGCCACGTTGGGTTCCATGTTCGGCAGCGTCCACAAGGTTTGGTTTTGTGGGTGTCTCTCGGGGAGATAAGAAGCCTGTGAACTCCTGCACTGCCTGGGGGATGTTTCATCGGGGGTCCCGGGAGGCAGAGAGCAGTCGGGGAGCCCAGGTCGATGTAACGAGGCACGGTTTAATGTTCCTTTAACTTGGCAGTACAGGCAACGGTTGGGGGCTCAGAGGAGGGGGGGGCCCACCCGGGGGGAGCCACCCACAAGAGAGCCTGGCAGCCAGGACTGTGTCAATTTCATAGTTGGGGAAACTGACTTTCAACATCACTGCTGGCTTCCTGGTCTTCTGCCTGTACCCCTGTGGCCCCATCTGGGGGAGGCTTCAGTTGGAGGGGTGGGGGGGCCGATCCCCATGGGAGGAGTGAGGGGGAACCGGGAGGCCATATGGTGGGGGCTGAGGGTGGCAGGTCTCAGGGCTTCCCTAGGCTGGCGGGTCAGCACAGCCTGTATGCCCCTTTCCCATGGTGCTGGCCCTCAGGACCAGCTGAGGGGTCACGGGTATGGGAGGGGTCGTCCTCCGGAGTCCTGACTGCACGTGTTTGCCTGTCGCCGCTGTCCGCCAGCGCAGGATTGATGGCCATGCTGTGCCATGTGGCGGCTGTGTATGCATGCCATCCAAGGACGAGGGTCAGCAGTGTGTGAGGCCCAGGAGGGAGGGTTCCGTTTGAGATGGAGGAGTGCATGCGTGGGAGGGGGCTGGGGGCATGGGGCCCTGCCACACCAGTGACACGGCTGGTCGGACACAGGCTGCTGGGCGTGGCCGGGGGCAGCTCCGACAGCGTGGCGGGGATGTTGCTGGGGCCCCGTGGCTGGTCCAGGCTCTGAGGAGACAGAATCATGGGTCTTCCTGTGGCCCCCCTCCTCCAAGCCTGAAGCAGTAAATGCAGTGGGGTGGCGGGTGAGTAGGGAGGTGGACAGGGGGCCCTTGCTGGGGGCTGTGGCCTTTGGTCTGTTGTGTGTGATGCTAAGGAGCACCAGCAGGGGGTGCCGAGGACACACCAGTCCTCAGGGCCTCCTGTGCTCTGAACTACACAGAGCTGTGCCCGGGCAGGGAGGCAACACTCACTCAGAGGAGCGGACCCAGACCTGTGGGGACAGCCAGCGAGGAGCTGGCTGAGGGCCTGTGTGAGACCCTCCCACCACCCACCCCCAACGGTGGGGGTCTCCCCTCACACACACCCCCTTCGGTCACCGTGCGGGAAGGCTCTGTCACTGGCCGTGGGCCTGGATGTCAGGGTCCTGGAAGCCCCATGCTTCAACGGCTGCCACCAGGAAGTTCTCGGAGCAGAGGGCCTGGTTGTTGAACGTGTCGCAGTGGCCCGTGCGGCCCCGGTTCAGGTCGCCATCGATGAAGAGCGCCTGGCCGCCCCCGCCGCCTGGGAAGGCCATTCTCAGCATCAGCGCCCCTGCTGCCCCCGCCCAGCACTGCCTCATACGAGGTTCCCAGGGTGTGCTGTTTCACGGTGCTGGTGCTAGTCTGCATCTTCTGCCCCGAGAGGCCCAGAGCTACCCTCCACGCACCTGACTAACTGTGGCACCCTGGTCTGGGGAGGCTGGCTCTGTGCCCACCCCCTTGGGGCTGTGGAGACCCCGCCTAGTTGGGGCAGGGGGCGGCCCACCTATGATGAGGCAGTCGCTGCCCCCCGCCATGAACAGGGACTCCGTCTTGGAGGGCAGGTTGAAGTGGCGCGCGGACAAGAAGGGCGAGAGGCGGTCGGCGGGCTCAGTGGAGACGGCGGGGGTGGGCGTGGTCTCCGGGGGCATCAGGGGCGCCTTGGTCAGCTCTGGGTGCTTGATGACCACCCACTCGTAGCGCTGGACCTCGGGCTGCAGCTGGAGGGGAGGGACAGGGCGTAGGGCAGCCGTGCCCAGTGTCCACAGACCCCGCCTGCCCCTGGGGCACCAAACCCAGAAGTAAGTGGAAGGCCGTCCATGAAGGATGCCCGCCATGGTGGTCACAGACCAGCCACAGACCAGGACGGGGCTTGTGAGCGGAGTCACCTCAGGGGGAAATGGTTCCCGGATGGATCCTCAGCCACTGGTCAGGAGTCCGTGGGGTTGGGGTGGCGGTGGCCGCTAGTGTGGCTAAGCCCCACTCACCCGAAACACGAAGCACTCCCCTGTTCCGAAGAAGCCCAGTTTGCCCCCGAACTTGTTCCTTTCCCTCCAGTCTGTTGACAGGTAGGCACCACACACCTGGGAAAGAACAAGGGGAGGCACTGCTGGCCCAGGGGGCACGTGGGAGCCGTGATGGGGGCACCTTAATCCAAAGAAGCCAGCAAGAGTCTCTTCTCCCTCCAGGGTGGGTCCCCCCTGTGCCCCCACCTGTGGAGAGGGTGGGGCTGACTGGGGCAGGGCTGACTGATGGGCGGGGCGGGGCCTCATTTCCCTTTTCAGAACACCAATGGGCCTCTCCCTTCAGCCCCTGGAAGCACCACTGGCAGAGGCTTCTAGAAAATGCTTCCACTCAAGAACAGCCAAAGCCCTGCCTCTCACAGAGCATCTGATTGCCCCCACGGAGCAGAGGGTCCTGCCCCTGGAGTGCCTGGACTCGAAGCACTCGTCACAAGATGATGGCTAGGGGACCAGAAGCCCCTGCATTGACCAGGGCATTTGGTGGTGGATTGAGATCACCCCCTAGCATGACCCCTGGCCTCCTGCTGATAGCCACTGCACAGGCAGAGCCTGGGGACCAGGGGTCAGTGGTGGGTTGTGGCTTGCAGGGCCCTCCCAGTTGTGGGGGCTGGGGCAGGGGACAGGATGGCCTTAGGTACTGGGTACTGTTCTCAGCGGAAAACTGGCCCTGCCCTGCACCTGAGCTTCGGAAGCACCCCCCAACCCCCACCCCAAGCTATCCAAGGAGTCTGGCTGCCAGCCATGCCCAACCCCCATCCAACCCCGCCTCACCTCCTTCTGCGTGGTCTTGATGAGCAAGAGGGTGGGCTCATGGCCTTCACACTGGAAGTAGAACCTGGAAGAGAGACCGCGCATGCCAGCGTGGCACAGTGCCCCGGGGCCCGGCCGTGAGGCAGACCCTGGAGACCGCGCTCCCTGTGGGCAGGCCAGACCCTGGCTGGGTACTCAGGGGCCCCCGCTGTGAGCTTGTACTTGGTGGCCCCTGCCGTGGGCACGAGATTTTGAAGAGACTCCCTCAGACAGCACTCCAGCAGACAGGAGCTGGGCGAGCGCTGCAGGGAAGATGGGGCCTGAAGGAGGCCCCACCTCAGGGAGCGCCGTGCAGGGGGGTATGGGCGCTGAGCGGGGAGGGAGCCTGGGCACCTGGTCAGGCTGTAGCCGTGCTGCAACGAGGAGAAGAGCAGGAGGGGCTGGCAGAGGGCGAAGCGCTCGGGGACCCACGACCAGATGTCCCGCATTTCCTTCACGCTGACTATCTCCGAATGGAAATTGTCCGCGTGGACGGCCAGGTGCACGAACTGCCTGGGGGCGGGGGGGAGAGCAGGCAGCTCAGACCATGTTCCCCACCCCCAACGCCCCCACAGCCCCTCCACGTCCCCACCCTGTGCTCAATCTGAGCCTGCAGGGCCCGTGCCAGCACATCTGGGTGTGGCACCTGGTTCTCAGGTGGTGGCAAGAGACAGAGTTCTGACTCTTGGGGGGCGGAGGGGAGGGGGGGCAGGGCTAGCCTGGGTGAGACCAGAGTGCCTCTGCCCCTAGGAAAACAGACAGACTGAGCTCTGACGAGAGAAGGGCTGGGGTCAGCCAAGCGGACGCGGACAGCACCCCAAAAGCAGCCAAGCAGACAGACAGACAGACAGACAGACAGACAGACAGACGGAAGCCCTGAGCCCCACAGCCGCCACCGAGAGCCAGCTAAGCCCCAGGGGCCAGCGGCGAGGGGGGGTGGCGCGCTCGCAGACCTACCTTTTAGCAAGGGAGACACTGAGACAGGAGGGAGCGACAGGAGAGGAGAGAGAACAGACACACAGCGGTCAGTGGGCGGGCGGCCTGCCCTCTCAGGGGTGCCAGGGGACTGCCCAGGCCGGCGTGGGCTCCGCAGCTGGAGGGTGAGTGGGCCGGCCAGCACTCTGAGGTGAGCCCGGCCGCCAGGGTGGCCCAGGGCAAGTCTGCGCTGCTAACCTCTGGCCCTCAGGGTGGCGGCCAGTGTCAGCCCAGGCCTGGCTCTCTTTACCCACATGCTCCACAGATGGGTGGACAGATTAAGAGACTCACAGGGCAAGCCAGTGTCCCCAGACAAACCCCCTGCTGCAGCCCAGCCCCTCACACTGCCCCCGCCACCCACCGCACCCCTAGCCCCTACCCCACTCTCCACCCCACTGTGCCATCTTATTCAACCCCCTGCACCCTAGCTGTACCCCCGTCTCCTAAGCTCGGCCAGCCCTGTCCCTTATAGCCAGCTGCCCAATTGCACCCCACCCATGTCCACCCCTCGCTCCCAGCGGCCCCCCACCAGCCAGTGGCCCTGCTGTATATACCTCGCCCCCACCTTGTGCCTGGCTGCCCCGCCGGCCCCCCACTACCTCTTCTGCTTGACCGTGATGCCCTTCTGCTTCAGTGCCTTCTCGTTGGCCATCTGCAGGAGCTGGATCTCCTTGCGGGAAAAGAGCCGGATGGCGAAGGCCTTCTCCAGCAGCTTCTCGGGAGACACGGTCTTGGCGATGTCCCTGACAAAGGCCCGGATGTCCTGCCTCACGCTGTCCGGCTCGGGCGGCTGCCCAGCCCGCGCCTTGTGGAAGAACCTGAGGAGGGCCAGGGCCACGCGGTACAGCACCTTGTAGCCCTCGACCAGGAAGACGTCGAAGACTCGGGCCAGGTGGCTGAGCGGCAGCTCGCCGAAGAGCCAGCGCTGCCAGTCGGCGTAGACCTGCAGCACGTCCTCAGACACGGCCACCATCAGCTTGTGGGCGGCCTGGCAGTACTTGTTCACCAGGTCGCCGAAGGTCATGCAGGACGACTCGAAGGCCAGGAAGCTCTGGTCCACCAGCTTGCGGCCCGGCTCGTTGCAGGCCAGGATGCGGCAGGCCTTCTCGAAGCACTCGGCCTCGTCCAGGCTGTAGTGCAGCAGCAGGGCCACCACGGCTGGCAGCGCCGGGCAGAAGGAGATGTCGGGGAACTGGTTGGCGATGCAGAGCAGGATCTTGCGCACGGCGCCCTCGCCCCGCGCGTTCAGGCAGTAGCTGGGCACCTGCGTGTTGTCCACGAACTCGGGCAGGGGCAGGCTGCTGCTGCTGTGCTTGCCCACGATCTTGCCCACAATGTCGCTGTAGACGCTGGCGTCGGGTGTGACCGTGCGGCATGGGATGTCTCGGATCAGCCGCTGGTATACCTTGGCCCGCAGGGCGTAGCTGCGCGCCCAGTAGCCCTGCCGCGCCAGCTGCTTCAGCTCCTGCAGCTCCGTGCAGCTCAGCTCCTTGGGGCCCAGGTCCTGGATGGCTGCATCCATCTTCTCTCGGTCCACAAAGCAGTTGTACCCCAGGGAGTCCATCGTGCGGGGTATGCCCCGAGAGCAGGGGCTGGGGGGGGGGCAGCCGGGGGCCCCCTGCGTTGTCTGCCAGGGACCGGAGGGCACTGAAATGTGGCTAGATGCTGCAGGTGCCTCCCCCGTGGCCCTCTGCCAGCTTGCCTGCCATGCCACACCCTGTGGGAGCAAGAAACACGTGGGCATTCGACATTGTGTGTTCACAGGGGGCACCACGTGGGTCTCTAACTTTAAACACCAGCAGCTCTTCTGCGCACCTGCGCGGAGCCCTGCGCACCTTCTAACCCCGGCTCTTGGCACAACTTGCTGCTGTTTCCCTGGGTGACTCTCAGAGCGACATCATCGGGACTCTCTCCCTGGTCTGAGTTTGGAAGTGCTGCAGAGAGAGTGGCTGACGGGGTGTGAGATGCCTGGGGCACAGTGCTCAGCTTCAGCCTGCCCCCTGCCTCGGTCCACAGAGAGCCCGTGGGTGTATTTAGACAGCAGAACTCTGGCCGCGCAGTGTTAAGCATCGGGTGGTGCACCACAAGGTCGGCAGTTCAAACCCGCCCGTGACTCCTTGGGAGAAAGAGGAGGCTTTCTGCTCCCTACAGACTGACAAGTCTCGGAAGCTCGCAGCGGCACGGAGCACTTCTCTGCCCTACGGGGTGCTGCAAGGTCAGAATCAACTCAGCGTAATGGCCAAGGGCTTTTGGCTTTTTGTTTTCAGGAGGTGCTGGGTGACACTTACTGTGTGCAAGGAGCCACTGGTGGCGCTCGGGGGCGAGCCAAGAGGTGGGTGGTTCGGAAGTACCCAGAGGTGCCTCAGGAGACGGGGCTGGCGGTCTGCTTTGGGAAGGTCCCGGTTTTGGCCTCCCACCCCTGGGGCAGCCCTGCTCTGGCGACACCAGCGGGGATGCCGTGTGTCGGTGACAGTGCCTGACAACCACAAGAGCAGCAGCAGGGGTGGGGATGCACCCAACCCGCTCACCGCCCTGGAGGGATGCCTGTGGGTTCCCGCGCTGTAACACCACCTCTTCCTCCCACAGAGCAGCGGCAGGGCTGGAGCTGCGGCCTATCGAACGTGAAACTCACTATGTGACAGGGCTCCCGAGGGCGCAGCGGGCCTCCTGCCCTTCGCTGGCCTGGGTCCCCGAGTATCCAGAGAGCTCACCGGAGGGAACGTTGGGGTGGGGGGGGATAGGGAAGGTCTTGAGGGACAAAGGAGGCTGTGCGGACTATGGTGATTCTTCACCCCAGCTACTAGGGGACTCCAGGTCGCTGCAGAAAGGGAACCACAGGAGCTGCTCCTACTGACCTTTCTGTGCTGGGCGCAGACCGGTGCCCGCAACTCACAGGACGCTGCTCAGCAAGGCGCAGGCGAGGAGCAGGCTCATCTACATGCAAGAAGGCAGACACCGCGTGTTACAGTACCGTGTGGCGGCGAAGACCCGCACGCGTGTTGGTGATGCCCTACCCACGGGATACTCCCCACAGTCCGCTGAGGGCATTATTTAAAGCATCCCGGGGAGTGTGTGTGTGTGTGGGGGGGCGGCACTAGCCTCTGGAGGCCCCCCACCCCCAGGAGGAGCAAGAGGGTGGGTCTCCCTGCCAATTTGAAGGTCAGACCAGTAGGCCTGCTCGGCACCCACAACCATCCCCTGGCGCGGCTGCTTACAGAGTGTCACCCCCACTACAGGGCGGCGCATCGGCCACTCAGCTTAGAGGGGTGCCCAGGCCCGTGCCACCTGCCGGGCTCGGGAAGGAACCAGTTCTGTCTCAGGACCACGGACAGGCTTCACAACAGAACTGGAGCCCGGCAGACCAGAGCTCGCCTGGCCGGGCCCCGGGTGGGGTTGAATATTAAACTGCAAAGCTCAGCGGCCCTGGCATCTCCAGCACCTTTGGGAGCAGCAGACTCGGGCTGTCCTCCCTGGCAGCAAGCAGCCCTGGGACGTGCCCGATTTAGAGGGCAGCCTCCCAGACCCCCACTCGGGCAGAGAGCTGTTTCCCAGGCTGGCAGATTGGTCTGCAAAGCCAGGCCCAGGGCCACCCAAGGTACAAAAACTGGTCCCGTCTCATCCAAAGACTCGGGGGACAATTAGTCCAAAGGATCCCCAGCCTCCAGACCCTGAGACCAGAAGAACCAGCAGGTGCCCTGCGCACCGCTCTGAAAAGGGCTGCATCAGAAGGTCCCAGATAGAGCGGGAGGAGAACGTGGAACAGAACCGGAGACCCTGAGAGAGACCACTTACTGGTCTAGCCCCCTGAGACCATGGCGGTCCTCAGGCACCCTGCAGGCCTGGAACTGAAGTCCCTTCCCCTGGCCCACGCCGTGCCCAGCAATGAGGATGATGCCAGCTGGCTCTGACCCACAACGACCCTGTTTGCAGCAGAACCAACGAAACACTGGCCCGTCCCGTGGCACCCCCTCACAACTGGGTTACGTCTGAGCCCACCGCTGCGGCCACCGTGCCAGTCCATCTCCTCAAGGGTCTTCCTCTTTTCCCCTGACCCCCTGCTTCACCCAGCGTGACACTGAGAAGCATGGATGTGGCTTTGCTAGAGACGGTCTTTTCAGCGGCCTCAGATCCCGATGGACGCCAGACACTGAACAAGGAAGACGGCAGACGATGTGCTATCTGTAGGTGAGGGTGTCAGGGGAGGGCTGCGAGAGTCCCGTGCGTGGGCGGGAGACAGACAGGTCTGTGTTTGGAGTACAGCCAGAGAGCCTTGGAAGGGGGAATGGCGAGCTTGGTCTCGTACGTTGGGCCCCGTGACCCGGAAAGACCAGTTCCTGGAAAAGGACCCGAAGCCCAAGGAGAGGCCAGCCTAGAAGGAGATGAATCACCAAGCAGGGAGTCAGTCTCTCCTGAGACCAGCCAACCACGGATGTTCCGATCACTGTCTGCCCGGGCCAGCGCTCAGCAGGCAGGAAGGGGCGGAGATAACGTGGGGGTAAGAGGGAGAGTAGGTTGTGGGGGCAGCAACTCGTGTCACCAAACAAAACATGCTTACGACCATCCGGGGAACCCACTTGCTCTGTAAAATCTCGCCCGAGTGCCAATCAAAACGTAAAACCGACCAGGGCTGGAGTGGTGGCGGAGAGTTTCTTTATTGCTGTAGGAAGGACAGGGGCATGGCAGATGGTGAGGGCGAGGGCGAGGTCGGAGGGGCTGGGCCCAGAAGCCAATGGGTGACAGCAGCCCGCTGCACTCTGGAAGCGGGGGAAGGTGTTGTCCACAGCTTGGGGGACCATCTGGTTTGTGCACCCACCTGCAGACACAGCTGGCTCCTAGCCCTGCTCCCACCCAGTTGCTGACCACGGGCCCACGGCCGGGCTGCTGGCAGTGACCTGACCGGGGGCAGTGCAGCTGGACGTCGTCCCACTCAAGGGCCAGCCAGGCCTCACTGCCGGGACACCTGGTCCTGGGACAGGCCAGTCACCTTCCTGGAACAGGCTTCCTTGTCTGTCGGTCACGAGAGTCCATGACCCCTGCCTGCTGACGGGCACAGCCCCGTGGAGGTGAGGTGCTCTCTGCCCCCTGCTACCCATCTCCGCCCCTCCTGCTGTTCCAGGACTGTGGTGGAAAAGCCCCTTGCCTTGGGCCCCGGAGCACGAGGGGGCCCCCTTTGTCGTCACAGACCGTGCACTGTTGGCAGCACCACCCCAGGCTCAGTCTCCCCGAAGGGCTGGCTCCCTGGTCTGGGGTGGGGTGGGATGGTACTTTGCATCTTTGGTCCTGGCTTCTAATTCCAGGCAGACGGGAAGATTCCCGTGGCATCCTGTGGGGTGTGGGGGGTGGGGGAGTGGCCTGGTGGTGCAGAGCATGCCTAGCCTCTCACTGGAGGCCGGGAGCTGTTTGAGGGAGAGACGTGTGAACGACACGGGGCGTCCTGCTCTGCCCGGCGTGGAGTTGACTTGTGGGCAGTGGGTGGAGGGGACGCCAGCTGGGTGTGAGCACCGGGTGTGGAGGACACTGCAGACTCGAGAGGCAAGTGCCAGGGGCAGCCCACGAGGGGAGGTGGCAGCCTGGGGTGGAGTCCGGTTTCCCGCTAAGCTCGGCCAGCAGCCGGGAGGGCCACGGTCCATCGGGCGTGCTCAGAGCCCATTGTGTGTGGGGATTAGCTGTGACAGCTTAACCACTCCGCCCGCCCACCCTGGCACACAAGGCTGCTCGGGTGGCCTGCAGCCGTCTCCCTCCCACCAGGGTTTGGGGATGCTCCCCAGCCTATTGGGGGCGGTGGGGTCCTGAGGGCGCCCCAGAGGCGAGTGGCCTTGGATGTCAGGATCCCTGTTCCCTAGAGACCAGGACTTCCCTTCTGCTGACAGAGAGGCCCCCAGCTGGCCTCTCTGAATAGCACACTCCCCTTGGAACAAGGACCCCAGTCACCAGGCCTCAGCTGTCACCATGACCCAGGCCTTCTGTCCCCACAGGGCCAGCCTGGGAGGGCCTGGGAGGGTCAGGTAAAAGGAGGCAGTGGGACACAGCGTGTGGGGCTGGGTTTGGCCCCAAGGACTGCCACCATGGTAAGCAAGCAGGACTAGGGCGGGGGGCGTGTTTACTAATGGAAGTCCTGGGGTGCTAATGGAAAGGTGGGCAGTTTGGACCCACCAGTCCCTCTGCGAGGGGAGATGAGGCAGCCCCCTCTACCTCTGCACCCATCCCCGCCTCTGCAGGCCCTGCTATGAGCCAGAATCAGCCAGTGGGAGAAATCCCAGGGAACAAGAGGAAGGCTGGCTCTTGGGGACAGCTCCCCAGGCGTGGATTTCAACACCACCACCCCCCAAGCTGGCAGGCACTGAGGGCGCAGAGCAGGAAGGGCGGCAGCCGGGGCCCTGGCGACAGACAGAAAGTGAAGGCAGCAGGGGCACCAACATGGCACCGGCTTGGCACAGTCCCTACAGACAGCCAGGCCAGGCCAGAGGTGACCAGACAGGGTCTCACGGCCCTCCCAGGGGCCTGTGGGCAGGCGTTCCGGGCACGGTGCAGGGAGAGGGTGGAGGCCTCGGGGTGTGGCCCTGGCAGGGGTGGGGAGGAGGAGGGGGCTGGAGGGAGGCCAGCAGTGGGTACACGTGCCCTGCCTTACTCAGGTGGCATCGATGGCCTCCTGGCCCCTCCTCCTGCCCACACCCAGCCCAGCCCAAAGGATCCCCATGGCCCCCAGGCACGGCCAGCTGGTGGCACTGTGCGCCATCTCCTCTGCCCAGGACCCTGGGGTGCAGGACATTCCGCCAGCTGGCCTCCCAGCTCACTCCCTCTCTCTAGCCTTTCCCTGAGGGCCACCAGGCACGTGGCCAGCAGCCGAGGAAACTCCCTCCAGGAGCCGTGAGTGGGGAGATACCCCGGGGACTGGGGACCCATCTGGGGTGCAGAGCGCATAGGGGACATTTTCTGTGAAGGATCCCCTCATGTAGCAAGAATGAGTCTGCGAGGGGAGGGGGAGGTGCCCACCAGGGATTTCCCGGGCCTCCCAATGTCAGCCTCATTCTGGGAAGATCTCTGGTGACCGGTGCTGTGGGGACAGAGGGGCAGCTGCCAGAAGTTCTAGGTTAGGAGAGCTGTGAGTGGACACCCGTGTCTGGTCACCAGGTCCAGGTGAGTCCTGTGTGGCTTGTGGTCACTGTGTCCCACTCACCACTCACCCGCCATTGCCAAGACCATTCCCACAAACCCCGGCGCAGAGCTCCTGCCTTAGGCCCAGAGCTGGCTGGCCAGTGTGTGCCCCGGTTGGAGCCCCAGGGGAAACCTTGCGTGCACCCGCGGCCTACAAGCTGGCCCTGGTGCCATCTGGCAGGCCTCCCTGGCAACCTATCCTTGCCCGAGGCACCAGCTTCTTCTCCTTCGACTGCCAGCTCTCCTCCTCACTCCCCATAAAGGGGTTGGTGGCTTGGGCTTCCTCCTCACCTCTGGGGGGCAGGGGCCTCCCTTGGTCCCTGGATGGTCCCTCGGGGCCCCATGTTCCTGTGTCTTCAGTGCTCCCTATGTGGGGGCTTGTCCCTCGGTCCCTGACAGCCAGGGACGGTTTCCTCCTCCCTCACCCGGTCCTTGCCAAATCTGCCAGACCAGGTGACCCTTTCTTCTTGTCTGGGCCTCCCTGAAGCACACAGGGCAGCCAGGCCTTTCTGCAACCTCTCCCAGAGGCTGCAACGCCAGCTCTGGGGCTTCCCCGAAGTGAGGGGCCACCACTGCTCTGCCCCTCCCTCCACCAGTTCCCCCCAAGTTGATGGCACCGCATGACCCTCTGCCTCCCCTTGGTCTATGTGGAGGAAGCCATCTGGGGACTCTCCCCCACCCCACAAGCTGTCCAAGGACCCCCACGTGACTAGGGATGCCCTGCACTATACCACATCATGAGCCGCCACCCCCTCCCGGGCGCTCCCCATCAGCATGGG